TGAAAAAATGCAGATCTGTAATAGAAATACATGTATGTTGTCTCAAAAGAAACATTTTCGCTGCGGTGAAAAAAGCGGGCAAGGTATACTCGAAATCCCTGAGATCGGGTAGGCGTGGCTGCATGCTTCACTTAACCTGAAGGAGTCTATGCTTCTGGTGAATTTCATCTTGACACAATTGTTGTCGTGTCTCTGTCAACACAGAACAAGATGACAGTTGTCCCAGACTGGAATATTCCACGAGTAACCAGTTCCGTGCCATGTTCAAATGCCACGCCTACTCTGGCTCAGGGATAAGGAGTGTATGTCACGACAATGTATTTGGCTACCAATTGGGACTCAAAGTACGCAAGTGCACGTGCCTAAAGCTAGAGCTCGTGGAGCACAATGTAAAGGGTACAGAGTTTTCTAAAATGTTACCAGTAAGCTAACAACTGTACAGGGGAGGGAAATATTGATAGAGAATTGGAGGGAGCGGTGGTCAGAGAAGGGAAGGTACTCTACAAAGAGCGCTGGGAACGAGTGGGCATATGGAATATGGCCATGAAATACTGGAAGATATACTGCCTCGTTCGACCGAGAGCCAGTTGGATTCTCACACGCTTACTACGCGCACGGCGCGGGAGTCGAACCCCGGATCTGCCCGCGCCCAAGCCAACCATGGGTTCTAACCTCCGGAGACGGCAGACTGGTAACTAAACCGTTTGGGAGTCTTATACATCGCATTCAATGAGTCACCACGATCCCCAACGGAAGTATAATGCGTGTCGCATCCCACGAAAGGATTGGTCAACGGCGAAGAATTCTGTACCCCTTGTGCGAGCCCTGGGGTTCAGAGTATACAGTGGTTCAACTCAGGAAGAGCGAAACGAACCGCCTATGAAGATTTTTAGTGTTTTCTTGAACAACTCTTCGCCTTCTTCTTTTTCACGGGAAGCCGAAAAAATGGAAATGGAAATTCCCAGACACGATTATTGAGACAGAATATTTCTTACCTTGTGCTCTCCGAATACGATGTTGAGTTTCTCGGTGAGGTGATGTGGACTACCGACTTTTGATTGATGCTCACCGAAGACTTCTTTTGCTTGGGCTGCTTGACAGGCATTGGCAAAACCTACAATGCACACAACTGCAAAATATAGCGCATATATTGCCGGGAAAGGTTCCGGACTGACAAGTTCTTGCTTGTAAACCTTGTGGAAAGAGACACTGGAAGCCCTCCTGTCGCTCTCCTTGAGACGATCTTGTCCTCGATAAACGGCTGCTTCGATTCCTAATCAAGGTATATTTACAAGTAACAATACTATGACGAGAATGGTAGAGCTAATCAACATAAATTTTTATTTAAATCAGCCCAATCATGTACCATCCAAAGCTTCAAGCATCGGGGGAGACGCAGCTTTGACTGCGGAATCGCTGGGCTGGCCACCTTGATAGTGATGAGTCGCTCGTTCACCATCGTATTTCTGAGCATAAGTTGTAACATGGCCAGCTCTGAGCTCTACAAAGTAAGCTAAAATACTTACAGAAAATGAACCAGTCACTGAGGCGGCTAAGCGTCGAGCCAACACCGCGCTGACGCCAGCTCTTGGTTTGATTTGGATATCCTCTCTTACACGAACTAAGCCTTCCGGAGGACTTTCTTCAAACTGAAAACCAGAAACTTCATAGAAGATAATTAGTAGAGCAGCTATGGTAGCATTACCAAATGGATCTTAAAAATCTTATAGATTGAGTGCACAATGGAAAGCATCGCCCACGCTGTTCGAATAGGCGTGGACAGTCAACTAGAGGCCCGTGCTGGGCGTCTCCACCCCCTACGATTGGGTGTAAAAAATGGTACTACGAAAACCAAATGCTTACTCACTTCCTTTTGTAGGGTTGAATTTTCACAAACGACAAGGTCAAGAGATGGCGGTGGTTCGTCAAAGTCATCCGTAAGTGAGCCCGACGACTCTCCAGCCTCATTGTACTGCAAAGTTCGTTTACTATGAATGTGTTTCAACGCAGGCTTACGCCCAAAGCTCAGCAACGATCTTGAAATACGACCTGAACGGGTAGTTCCGGTCAAGCTATTTAAGGTCGACATCTCTGGTCGAATAGGGATTGTAAGGACTGCTTTCA